ACGTAAACCAAGACAACAAAGACTCTGCGCAACAATTCCCATTAGCTCAACACTTGCACCAAGCAGTTTGCATGCACTATTCGGTTTAACTGCATCACAAGTAATATCCATGTCTACTGGAGCATACCCATGGTCACCCTGCACGTGATTCGCTTCGAAGAACGCTGAAAAGGCTGAGAGGTTCAACGATAAAAAGCTTGCTAGTTCTGTGTTCAGGGCCTCAGTACATCACCAACACTCATTCCAACTTACAAGAGTACCCTATCGGTTGCCGCAAAATTTAAAGTTGCTGACTACCTTCTTTAGTCTCATCACCTCACTCAACTTCTCAACAAGCACAACAAACACAAGGTGTAATAAGGCCAAGAGCTGAGTGTGTTTGAACAAATGCGCTCTGAAGACCAAGTGCGAATATAAAGGCGCACAGCATTTTCTGACTGCCTTAGAAGTTACCCGACAATTTCCTATACCCCGCTGACTCCAGACAGGCATTTTGGCTTTCGTACATGAAGTGTGTATGTTAATTAGAAAAATGAACCGTACCCACGAGTGCATACGAGGGGATTGCCTCTCATTAAGGGGGGAGGCTACCATCGGATACCAACTTTTTTGTTTATTGAGATATCTTAATGAAATTTTCAGGATAGACTTATAGCAAAAGCATTAGAAGAACTACAAAATTTCATCAACTTATATTCACTGGTTTTCAAGTTACAGCAGAATATCAGGGTAGTGCACATGGTTCTCTTATTCCAGGCCTGGAAAACTTTCAAAAGGTGCTGGAACTATGAAATTAACTATGATGATTCCCAGATTGATACTCCAAGGGGTAACAGAGCCCTTTTTTTGAATTTCCTTGCTGAAAAGTTTTAGCAGACCATCAAACTTTGTGTTCGTGATTAGGATATTATCAATCAAATTTTGATTAAATATAATAAATAACACACACAATATATTGAAAAAATGGGCTTGTCACCCCCTCAGAAATTTATTCATGTACATAATAAAAAAAGACTTATGGAAATCCAATGAGTGGTTCCAGAGATATGGCTGGAATAAGCAGCCTCACTAGCCAAAAAAGTCATTTTGAGAAAACGACGTTTGAAAGTTTTGAGCACATAGGCAGTTCTAAAATAAACCTGCAGCGTAACTGGAGGTGTCCTTTGGCACTCTCTTTCTTTGCCGCCTTTCCATCTTCTCTAGGGATCGCTTCTTAGCCTTTTTCAAGCGCAGAGAATCTTTCTCGGCTGCCCGTTGAATGGCCAGGTGGCCAGGTGTTAGCCCCACTGATGAAGCTAGCTCTTGGGTGGCCCTGTAGCAGCCAGCATTGTATCTTAGCACTGCATCGTGCAGTGCTGTCTCCACAGCAATCAGTGACGCATGCTGCTCTTTGGGCATGAGGGACCACAGCACAGAGTGAAAGGACTCTGATGCATTCTGCGTCTTTGCTCCCAGGCAGCGTTGCAGAAGAGAAGCCTGTGAGAGCCTCTCATAAATGGGTAGAAGTGCATCTGCAACATAGCGTGGCAGCTTGTACGAATGCTTCGGAGGTGGAACACCGGTAATCTTGCTGGCATTGTGACGACACCAGGAGTCTGCACCCTCTGGGCACAAGTCGTGGTGCGGCTCTTCATCCGTCGACGTCACATGGTGGTACGATGCCATCACTGCCCGCCGCATTGCAGCCACATCATCGGAATTGTTCCGTAGGGCCCAGCCATAATAATCTGTCAACTTGTCGATGAGGGCCTTTGTCAGCCTGCCCTTCCCTCCCAAAGCCTTGTCATTTTTCTGCACAAGGTTGCGAAGTGCAGTCTCCATCCTCTTCTGAACGTGGTTCAGACATTCCTCTTTTGAAATGGGGACCAGTCCATAAACATTTTCTTGTACAAGGGCAGAGAAGGTGGCACTATCTCCATCAGACACGAGCGTTGTGTAACGGAGGTTGTGCTTCGACAGTGAGCGTGAAAAGAGGATGATAGCTGCCTCAACCTCCATTCTCCCCGATTTAGAGTCGGTGTTTTTCTGGCACACGATTCTCCAGCCAGCATGCATAGTCTGTGTCTCCAGGCTTTGGCCCTACTTGGCAACCAAGGCACTGATTAGACAGAACAACGGCGTCCAAGATAAGGCCCGTATGGTATTCGATAATTGCCCCGACTCCAATATGGGATGTGTGCCCACGCTTGTGCCATGTTCCATCATAACAAACTGTTATATCCCTGGTGAAATATTGATCCATTTCTTTGTAAGTGGCTTTTACAGCAGAAGCAGATTCTGCATAGAAATTTTCTATGCATTGTGTCTGCGGTTCCCTGAATTTCTTGAGGTGCTTCTGAAAGGTCTTGTGATGGAGGCCACGATGGGACACGTTCATCGCTGCCCAAAAGTCGTTGAGAGCTGTTTGTCCCTTGCCTATTTGTTTTGTTGCCATAATGGCTCTTACATTCACATCATAGGCCTTTGTGTCATCCTGACGAGATGAACTCCATGAGCTTGAAACTACTCCACAATGCAAGCATACTAGCTCAAGCTTTGCAGCAAGTCCAAGTTGGGTGCCTCCTCGTACCTTCATCCCAATCGCGGTGCACCAGTGGCACGGGGTGCGAGATAGCAGGTCGTCTAGGGCATCCATTTGCACAAGGAAAAATTTTTCGCCTTCACTTGTAGCGGTGGCAGCTTCATGATCGCGCTCCATTGCCTGAAATTTCCGCTCCGTCGCTGGCATAGCGCCAAGTTCTCTTTGCACAGCAGCACGTTGTTGATCCGCCGCCTCTTTCTCCTCGCACGTCAGGAAACTTATTCGCAAATGCACAGTTGACGACGCGATCGCACTCGAGGCCGATGAAAGAGAAGATGCGGAAGCCACTGTCGATGAGCACGAGACACCAGGCACACTTGTAACGACAAATTCTTGCACCGGCGAAGCAGGAGTCCCGTTGCTAGGCGCGTCGATGCGACCACTCTCTTGCGTAGATGAAGCAGAAGCTGCCCCACAGGTACCGTCGCCGCGATCACCGTCGGCGCACGTGCGAGCGGAGAGCCTCGCCGCCCGGACAAGCTTCATAGCTCGCTTCCTTGCACCGAATGATTGTAGCGTCTTCTTTTTCGTTGGGCGCATCGTGAGCGAACACAACAACGGTCTCGTATAGACGGTTGAAAATCGTTTCGAAGACAGTTGAAACGTGGAGAGTATGCGAATGGCTGCAACGATACACGGAAGCGAGCGGAACACAAGGACGCCAGACGGAGGAGCAGCAGACGAGCGGCCGCATCGGCCGCATTATGCGCAAGAGTGCTACGTCATCGCGCGCAGCAGCCAATGGCAGTCGCGAGCTCCCCCACGTCCTTGGGGAGCGCGCGCTTCACCCAATCCCAGCTGCGCGCCTCAGCCGCGGGAAACTTGAAAGCTCTCGCGAGCCCTCCAATCATGAGCGGCTTGCTCCTCTCCTGCGCTGCCGCCGGCGACGCAGGTTGGGGGGAAAGAAAGAGCAAGTATTCACAAACAAAACAACACCAAAATGGCGGCGCTCCGTCGAGCGGTCGAGAAACTGCAATCACGCCAAGTTGGGGTATCTTGAGCGCTCGCGCGCCGCTCGAGGGCCGCCGCGGCATGTTCTAAACTTTATTTCAAATGGTTTCGCGACGAATTAGACATTGATATTTAAAGAAAAGGTAGTTTATGACACATACTGCCCGAATATGTGGTTTGCCAAAAATCGACTTTTTCGCGATTTTTCGGTTTTCAAAGGCCGCGTCCCCCCTTAAAAACCTGAAGGAACCAGGATTTATGTTCGGTTCAGCAGGAGTTCAAATTTACTGAGATATGAAGGGTGCAGGATACAAGCCCAAAACCAATCTTGTAAAATGATTTTGTTCCATATCTGCGTTTTAAGAATTTCCATTTACTGAGCCTACTTTACTTGCCTTCAGAAAAACTGGTTTTCAGCCACAAAAAAATACTCTAATAACAGCACAAATGTGGAATATATGCACAAAGAGATCCCTTTCGAAAGTGAGGAAAAAAACTTTTTTTTTTAATTTTGCTCTACCCTGCTCCCTTAATAATAGCCACTGATTTAAGCGACAGCCTGGTATAAGAGATACTTGTGAGCGTATGCAGAAATAGAGGTTTATAAAAAAGTGCAATTGTGGTTTCCTGCTTGTAAGAGACACCTCATACAAAGGCAAGAATTGCTCCAGAGTGCGATGTCTCTCATAAAAGAGTTCAACTGTATAGGAGGGTATGTTATCAATAGAGCTCAAGGTATTTTTTTTTTTAATTTTGTTTCAAACAAGTACAAGCCAAAACCACACTCTGCATCTAGTATTAGTCAAATTTCCTATTCCGGAGATAATATGAAAAAGCATTCCAGTTACTGCTGGCATGGATTGATTATTCCTTACCTTTAAGGGGCCCTCCAACACTTTTTGACCATGGTCATAAAACACTGCCATTCGGTAGTAGGGGCTCCCGAGAACATGCAAGCTAAATATTATTGCGCAGCAAGCGGCCTGACATTCACAATAAATTATCGAAGTCAGCTAAGAATTGCTTTCTCTTCTCTCGAAAAATGACTGAAGATGCTCAAATTACTCATAGAAGGCCATCTATCAGCAATTGGCTGATTTGAACATGGCGCGCTCGGTCGTTACAGGGATCACTGCAAGAAGTCGTCACTTGTCTACGCGTGCGTGCACAATCGCACTGAAAAAGCCACGTATTCAAAAAAGATAAAAGTGCTCAAGGTCACGAGGTGCGCGTGACATTTTTCGTTTGCCTCTCCCCTCCCTCCCTGCTTAGCTTCCAGCGCTTTCGTCGAGACGAGAAAAGAGAGAATACGTTTGCAGTGTGTGACAAATCTTCGTAGCTGCGCTCGTACTGGATGGGTTATTAAAATTTTTGTGGAATTCGTGAGACAATAAGTTCTTGTAGTGAATCCATTTTATGGTTACTTGAAGTGTTTCAGAGCCTTTTTAACAACAAAAGTTATCCTTACCTTGGGTGAGCTGGAGATGTCAGCTGTTGTAGAGCAGTAGCCTGATAGTTATGGTACTGACCTGCCAAAGAATATGTTATGCAAATAAGATAATTAACAGATGAATGTGCTATTATCAAGCACAAGTTGTGGAAAGCAAAGCAGCCATACATGTGACAAACTTAAAACTTATTTATATAGCTCAATCAAATGCCCTCATCAGTGCCTTCCTGGACCACACAATGACTACCAGACATGCTCGTGTAATGGCCGCAGGAAGAGCCACAACATGCATTATTTTTTATTCTTTTGGGCATGACTTGCCTATGGTAATTACTGAACTTCAGTAAGCAAGTACAGGGAGAAGCCAACAAAAGAAAACAAAAAAGAGCTGCTTTTTATCTTCCACTTCAATGCAGATGTTAGCACATCATTCTAAGATAGCAGAAAGGTAGGTGGTTCTGCTTCATAAAAGATAGATCCATCCACTGCTGGCTTTAAGTGCTCTAATCAAAATACTTTAGTCTCGTGTCATGCTGAGCACTTCTACACAGAGCATCTCAATCGAAATAAAGTAACAATCACTCTGCATCTCTGTCACGTACTGCAGAAATGACTCATTTGACTTTCACGAACATGCTGTGCTAGCCCCGCGAAGTGCACCTCTGTGCTTTTTTTTTTTTTTCCTGAGTGCACCCTCTTGGAAGTACTATCTTCTCACACAATTTTTTTAGTTCTAGAACTTTCGACTATCAAGTTCAGTGCTTTGGAGAAACAAAAAAAGCATTGAATTTTTTATAAAACACCAAAGATAACACTGTTCAACATCTCAAAAATCAAGAGCATGGCATAGTATTGTGAATTTTTAATGTATATTCTGGGGGAATTTTCGAACAGAGAACATGGGTGCACCCATTGCACAAGTAATATGCAATGTGGCATGACATGCCCAGCTAGCAGGGAAAAAGAGTGCATGCAACAATGAGCACCATTAATATTCTTCTATTGTTCAAAGGAAGTTGTCTATGACAGCCCTCTTTGCTATGTTCAGGACAGACTACCTGATGTGTCAACCAAATGTTGTAATTACATAAGCTGATATAACAATCAGAGAGAGCTTTCTTGCCCTAATGTAATATTTCCAATAATTCCAATTTCAAAACACAAGCATTACAGTCAAATACAATAAGATCATGTTACAGCAAACTCCATATCAACGAAAGTCTATGCAATAACAATTTCAAAATTTCTTGCACAAATGTAAGCGCAATTCAAGGCCAAAATTTTATTCTTCCTCTGTATTATTATGAAGTAGAGCTGTGTGCCACCGTGCTGCCGCCCATTTTTTTTCTCACGCCGTTTGCACCGCCGCCGAAGTTCCGGGAGAGACCACACCGCCGCCCAATAATGGTGGCGCGCCGCCGTTTATCGTATGTGAAGTAGAGCGAGCATTACGGGCATAAAATACATCACTTTGCCTTTTTTTTTTCTGTAGGTTTATGGTTTTTCAAAGCGTGGTTTGCAGTGTCTTGACTGCTCTATTGTGTCCGTGTTTACATGCATTGTCTATATAAGAACCCTAAAACAGTTTCTGATGATAAACAACTGAGAGTGTTATTCTCTTTTGTCGTTTCTCGTTTTTTTGGTGGTCTTCGGAACGCCAGAACGGTGATTCACGTGACATGATTAGGAACATATTGTCACAGGTAATGGGTATGAGCCATCAACTGTAGGTGGAATCGCTTGGAAGTGAAGAAAAAAGAGGGCTTTGCTTCCCGGTCTGGGGCGAGCAAGACGTCGATTCGTTGCTGTCTGTAATTTCATTCGTGGCACTGGTGGAAGTGCTGGGTATCGATCCCAGTACCTCTCGCACTGGGTAAATGCGCCTCAGCTGCAGATTTTCAGCCGACACACCGAGCTACTTGGAGACAGCTACAGCTCCCACGGCAAGAAGCAGTCGCCGCCTGCGAGGACTACATCCCGAATATGGTCCTCTCTCTCAAGATGATATGGCAACTTCGACTACCAACCAGGCGAGTCAAACCCACGACGCCTATTCTTTTCTCCTGCATGTTTTTCATGTGCCGCAAACACCACGCTCACTTCATGGAGACATTTATGAAGATGTTGATGACTGGCTTGACCACTTCGATCGAGTTGCAAACATGAACGAATGGGATGAAGCTCGCAAGCTGCGGAGAGTTTACTTTGCGTTAGAAGACTCTGCCAAAACGTGGTATGAGAATCACGAGGGTTCCTTTACAAGCAAGAGTTCAGCCGACGATTTCGTGATGCGTACCGCAGCACTGAAAGGAAAGAGAGCGGAACAGGCCATTTCGTCTCGGAACCAACGACCTAACGAGAGAGTGTCGATGTTTATCGAGGACATGCTTCGACTCTTCAAGCGTGCCGACCCTGCAATGTCCGAGGAAAAGAAGGTGCGGCATTTAATGCATGGGTAAAAGAGCAGCTCTTCGCGGGACTCGTGCGCAATCCACCGACGACTGTGGCCGAGTTCATAAATGAGGCGACCACAATGGAGCGTACTCTCCAGCGTCGGTCGTCACAGTATGAACGCCACGACGTGACCACTGCTGCATGCTCTATCGGGGCTGACAGCAAGAGGCATGCCCTCGCAGAGTTCATAAGAAGCGTCGTGCGGGACAAGCTGCGCCAGCTCCAAGCAGCGGCACCCCAACCACCCGTGAATGCTCTCGCAGACTTAATTCGAAATGAGATCCGACAGATGGTCACCCCACTCGCACCAACAAGGCCTGAGGCACCTGTGCTGACTTATGCGGTGGCTCTGCGATCTCCTGTACCACATGCTCCTGATCCTACCATGCGGAAAATCTCTCGTAGACTTAATTCGAAATGAGATCCGACAGGTGGTCACCCCACTCTCACCAACAAGGCCTTAGGCACCTGTGCTGACTTATGCCGCGGCTCTGCGATCTCCTGTACCACATGCTCCTGATCCTACCATGCGGACAATGGATCAGGCTAGCCATCGATTCCAGGGCACCTCTTCGACTCCGCCACCCGCCTCAAGGTTTCCGAGTGCACCAACTTGTCGTCTATCTGGATTGAGACAGAACGCCACAAAGGCCAGCGTGTGGCATACGTCAGATAACCGTCCACTCTGCTACCACTGTGGCAAAACGGGTCACGTCTACCGCAATTGCCAGTACCGCCAACTGGGTCTCTGTGGCTTCCACCCTGATGCCCGGTGCACGCGTTACGGTGAGCGTCCTCGCGACATCAAAGCGTACCTTACGAGCTAGCAAGCTCCTCGCCTTGGTCAATGCCCCCAATCACGATCACCATCACCTCGCCACCCCACGTCACCTAGCTTTCCGTCGTCATCTTATGCTCCTTTCAGAGGCCGGTCACCGACTCCCCACAGGGGAAACTAGAAACCGCGGCTCCTGGGGGTGAAGCCGCGTCCCAACGAACTGTCAAAGAGCCTCCCTCGACGCAAAGACCCGACGAAAACCGTTCTGACTTTCCAGTCGTTTCCGAAAGTCATAAGACTGTTTACGCCGACATCACCGTACACGTCGATAATCACGTCGTCACTGCCCTCGTCAACACCGGTGCCGATTATTCGGTTATGAGCAGCGCCCTGACATCCCAACTGAGGAAGGTAACTACCCCTTGGCAAGGACCCCCGTTGCGCACGGCAGGGGGCCACCTCGTCACGCCGACTGGAATGTGCACAGCCCGTGTTCGAGTCCGTGCTTCGACGTTCACAGGGTCTTTCCTCGTATTACCTGTGTGCTCCCGTCCACTCATTCTGGGACTGGACTTTCTTCACGAACACGGCGCAATTATTGACCTACAAGACTTGCAGGTGTAGTTCGAGGACCCGTTTCATCCTGAACCGGAAAATGCCCGCTTATCGAAGGCTGCCCTTCGTGTATCCTTCGAATCTGTTACTCTGCCTCCCCGCAGCAGCCTCTTTATAAACGTTGAATTTGACCAAGACGTCCCCGATGCTGTAATTGCAGAAGGAAATTTGTCCCTACTTTTTGCACAACAAATCTGCATTGCCCGAGGTATTGTTCAGCCCAGGAGAAAGCAGGCTTGCCTATTAGTCACGAATTTCAGTGAGGAGTATCGCCATCTTACCAAACACACTGCGATCGCATACCTTGAGGATATTGCTGACGTCCCTGGTCCCTCAACATTATCTGCTCTTTCGTCGTGCGACGATTCCGCCATGACATTCGCAAGCACTCTCGACGTAAACCGGGGTCTACCATCCGCACAACGGGGACATCTTTTGAAGCTACTTGGCTCATTTCGAGACTGCTTCGCTACGACTTCAAAAGTGAACCAAACACCGCTTGCCAAGCATCGTATCATCACCGAGCCTACCGAGAGACCCATTCGACAGCACGCCTACAGAGTCTCGCAAAAAAAACAAGACGTTATACGCCAACAGGTCCAGCAGATGCTCAATCTCTCAAGGACGATGTCATCCAGCCATCGAACAGTCCCTGGGGTCCCCTGTTGTGTTAGTAAAGAAAAAAGACGGTACCCTGCGATTTTGCGTCGACTACCGAAAGTTGATTAAGATCACGAAGAAAGACGTGTATCCTTTACCACGAATAGACGACTCGCAGGACCGCATTCCTAACGCTCGTTACTTTTCTTCCATGGATCTACGCAGCGGCTATTGGCAAATTTCTGTTGATGAGCGCGACCGCGAAAAGACTGCCTTCATTACTCTTGACAGGCTCTACGAGTTCAAGGTCCTTCCCTTCGGCTTATGCTCGGCGCCAGCTACTTTTCAAAGAATGATGGACACTGTTCTTTCTGGGCTAAAATGGCAATCGTGTCTTGTCTACCTTGATGATGTAGTCGTCTTCTCGGACACGTTTGAGCAGCATGTCCAGCGCCTACAGGCAGTTCTTCAGGCGATTCGAACAGCTGGACTTTCTCTCAAACCTGATAAATGCCACTTTGCTTTCGAGAAACTGAAGTTACTTGGTCACGTTGTCAGCCAAGCCAGTATACACCCAGACCCTGAGAAAACGAAAGCTGTTGCCGCATTTCCTGTCCGAACGAACAAGCGTG